CCACAAAGCCTTGCTTCTCAGAATGGTGCTGTGTCGTGTAGAGCCCCACACCTGGGAAAATCCCCACTTCAGCACTGAGCCACATACCAGGCCCAGGAGCAGCAGAAGATGCTACATTCTGACCAAGCCAGAGACCCCTCAAGAGAACTAAACCCAAAGAGGCTTCCCCCTCAGGAACACAGAAGGAAGAAAAGCCCAGCTGTGCCCATGCCGCAGGTCTGTGCCCTACTCTAAGCAGCCACAAGAGCCCACGTCAGCTCAGAGCTGCAGGCACCATGCCCCCTTACCCTCTCTTGGTTGATGTCAGCGAGGAAGATGCTGTATTTTTGGTACTCCTCCTCCTTCAAGGGGTCATGCCAGTACTGGGCCTGCACCAGGCTGCAGGGGAGAGAGAATGACCATGAAAAAGCAAACCCAAGGGCTCCAGCATGCTTCTTGCCTTAGCCTCTGATGCCTATGCAGGAATGTACTCACCGCCCCTGAATGGCTGTCGTGTAGGCCCCTAGGTCCAGCACCTTTCGGATCCAGTCGCAGATGTGGGAGCTCTCTCCAGGACAGCGAGGGAAGCCATACACCCCTGGGGCAGCAAGACAGGGCACAGACACTCAGGGAGCAGCATTGACACACTGGAAAAACTGCCTCCTCCTCCTCCAAGAACAGCAGTAGGAAGTATTCTAGGACTGTAGGTCTCCCACCCTATACTCCCTACAGCCAACCAACCTGCCCTGGGGGACAACTGCGGGGGAAGAGAACAGGTGACGTTCTCTAGCTGACTGGCAAAGGATATCAGCATGGAGAACGGGTTCACACAGCTAACGGAAATGTCTCATTCTGGGCCTGTGTACAATCCAGGATGCCTGACACAGGGTGTCTATGCCAACCTAGCTGTGTGGAGAGCCCCCAAGCTCAGTACAGATGAGCAGAAGGCATAACTACATCCTTGCCCTGGACATCACAAGTTAAGCCACAACCCTAGTCAGCAGAGCTGTATCAGGAGAGAGGGTTTTGCTGGCAGCTACATCAGCGAAGGAGTAGGGTCCTTTCAAACCTGTGGCTGACACTTAATAGTGTTGTCCCAGCCTCAGTCTATTCCCTCAACAGCATAAGATTTTCCTGCAACTCCTACTGTGCTAGAGAGAGACCAAGACTCAGTGGAGCTTCCCCCAGTCCCTTGGGAGAGCACTGTGGACATGGAGGGCTCACTGCCAGAAAATCTCCCCCACACTGGACCACTTCCCTGTCTCTCATCCTCCTGTGATGCCTTGTTCTAGCTCATGATTTGCTGTGAGCAGCTCCTCTCCTTTCTGGGCATGTAACCTTCTCTGCACATTCAGCTCGCCACCACCTCACTGGGGTTCCTGCCTGTCCCTGAACCCAATGCAAGAGCAGTCTGGGAGATGTGCAGTTTCCTAGCAACAGGGCACAGTTGCATCATTAGGATTTGGGCAAAAGCATTAGGTCAGTTTACTGCAAGTGAAGAAAAGGCCCAGGGAAGCTCCCTCAGGTGTATGGCAGGAAGAAGGGATCATTTTAAACTACCAACAGCTCCCTCTCTGTTCACAGCAAGCCTGTTTAGGAAGCAGGATGCCTTTGGGAGGATTTCTGGGAGGAGTTACCTTGCTGCTGCCCACCAACGGAAATCAAATTGAACATGGGAGGAGACGGACATCTCTGGGCCACCGCTCTCCTGTGGAAAGAGACAAAGGGCTTAAGTTTGCCCTGTCCTGTATAGACGCTACTGGCATTAAACATCACAGAGCCCCAAGATGACTTAGTTGCACTCTAACTTGAGCCCAAGAGGAAGTCGACGGGGACGGGGGGAGACACTAGGGGTTCCCAACCACAGTGCAGCATCCCTACCGTGAAAAAGATCAGACTGCAGACTTACAGGAACTGGCCTCCTTGGGAAAAGCCCATCGAGTTGTAGCCTCCCTGCAAGTTAGGATCCTTTGTGAGTGTGTCACAAACTTGTGTCACTTGGTCATTCACGTTCATGAAGAAGCTGTTCTCCATATCCTAAGGAATCAGCCACGTGAAGAGATGAAAGGATAGATATATGTTAACAATGGCCTGCTGAAGTGATTCTTGCCTCCATGTACTTGGTAGATCTAGGATTAACATGGCACTCTTTGGAGAAAGGGCCTTAAACTCTATAAAATTCCATGAGATAAAGATAAACCCAGTTTTATAAGATCCCATTCTATCCAGCAGGTCTTTGTCCCCTCCAGGCTCACAGCACAAGTGCAGAGGAAGGCAATACTTGTATGAGATATATAAAATAATAAATACATGTCCATGAATGAACACAAGTACTGGAGTTAAACCACAGGAAAGTACAAAGTACAGCTTCTCATCACGTGTCTACGTACTATCTGGAGAGATTTCAAAATGCTGATCAGCAGATCTGTGTTCCTAGCTCTTCTCTCATATGCAACTAACCAGACTGCATGGGTTTCAACATGGCAAAGCTATAGATTTGCTAAAGAGAATTAATAGTGAAAGCCTTTCATAGCTGTCTGTAGCACTATGTCAAACTCAGAGACAACAATATACTCCCAGAGTGCCTTTAACTCTTCACAGAAGCCGTTAACCAGAGAAAATGGATGACCACAGTTTTACCTCGATTATGTTCTTCCCAATCTTCAAAGACAGAACGTAGATTCCAGGTATCTTCTCTTCCACTATTTTTTTAATGTACCCCATACTTTCAGGGTTACAGCAGCTATCTCCTAAAAAGAGGAGGAAAGTTCCCATCAGATGCTGTAACATCATCGCACCTTAGGTACCTGAGCTGCTGAAACCAAGCTCCCCACTATGTTGTATATGAATCTTGTAGGGTTAAAGCAAGGCTTTGTAATGCTAAAAGTGAAGCCATTTCTTTGTCCTTTTGCCTCCATTTCATAAAAGCGGACACAACACTTACAAGGCGGCGTGGAGGGAAAAGGGGTACTGTGTGAGGGTTACTGATAAGATATGAAACTAGCTGAATCCAGTCAACAGGGAAGTCTCATCAACAGGAGAACCTTGAAAGTCGGGCATGATTTGTTTTTGTTAGATAAAGAAATATCTTGAAACAAAATATAGGGGGCATGTAATTCACAAGAGTTAAACTTCGGTGTTCACGCCCACAGTGCCACTTAATTGGACAGAATAGTGATTTAGTTAATAGATGATTGGGTATTTTTACGAGCACGAGCTAATCACGAACTAATGCTTATGCACTTAGAAAGTATAAAAAAGTATTACAACTAGTAGGCAGAGTCCCTCTCTGTAGAGGCACCTCGCTCGAGCGAATAAAGATTCTGTATTTAACTTTGAATACTTGCTCTGCGTAATCATTGCCCCAGCCTAAAGCAAACTACACGTGGCTTTAAAAGCGTAATTTGTAACAACTACATCTTTCCCCCCATGTATCAATACTGCACACTCTCCTCCCCTTGCCCTCTTGCTAATGACATGCTCGTGACATCCATTTAAAACCAGCAGCTACAAAACTTTAATTCCACTGTGCACACCAAATTCTCAGCAATCCTCCCCCTTAATTCTACCCTTACAGAAATGCATCGCTGCAGCGGTTTAAGTCATAATTGAACTACCCCTGGGGCACAAAACAATGGGTGTACAGAGGGCTCCAGAAGTCAGGGTCCTGCTTCCGCAGTAATACGCATTTGCAGTCTGGGCACTAGAGGCTCCCAAAGTTTAATCCAGGCTCTTACACAGCCTCTCTCTGTGGCTTTGAGCATATCACAGCTTCTCTCTGCTTGAGGTTCCCAGTCTGTAATATCCAGAGGCGATTAGGAGGATTAATTAGTGTTTATAAAACCAATAAGCGTCATTATAATTATCAGAGCTTTACAGCGTTATGATCTCATGTGATAGCTGGGGGTGGAAGGCAGGTGATATGGCTAAGTGAAAGAAGCATTGGACTGGGGGGCGGAAAGCAGGATTTCGGGGTTTGTCCCCACCTCTACCAAAGATCTCCTGTGTCACAGTGGACAAGCTGGATCACCACCATGCCTCAGTTTCCCCACCTTCAAACAAGGAATCCTGATCTTTGCCCTCCTTTGCAAAGCCCCTCGAGCTCTGTAACAGCAACGTGGGGCTTATCTTGATTTAAAACCTGGCAGAGTGCTGCAAGAAGGAGCAGGTTATGGCACGTTACCGCTGGCTCAGGAAGCATGCTGTGGTGCAACCACCCACACATGGCACCCATGAGAACCGTGCTTGCTCCCAGGCCTGTTTGGAAACTGTTCAGAAAGGGGAATGGAGAACGGGACCTGGAGCGCGTGGGGGGGGGAATCATTTTTAACTCTTTAAAGCCCAGTCCCTAGTACAACCTCCTGCCTCGTCTATGGCTCCCTGGCTCTCCTCACCCCTCGTTTCTCCAGGAGGGGGTGCCCCACACCTCGTCTGAGCCTCCCCAGCAGTGAGGCAAGAACCGGGGATGACTGAGCTTCGTGTTGCTGCCACCAGGCCGGGAGAAGAGCGCCTCGCTTGACACTCAACCCCCACCCCCCGGGCCCAGAAGCTCCTCTCCTCATCCCGGCCCGGGGCGACTGGCTGCACCCGGCGGGTAGGGCTACCAGGGACCCGCGGGCCGGCTGCAGGCCTCCCGGGCCGGGGCAAGCGGGGAGGGGGACAGCAGAGACCCCTCCCGGTCCCCCGGCGCTCACCCATGCCGTGCCAGATGACCAGGGGCACCGGCCCCGTGCGGTTCCCCGCGCCCAGCACCAGCGGCAGCAGCAGCAGCGAGCACAGCCACCTGAGCGCCGCCATCTTGGCCGGGCACGTGACCGCCCGGGACGTCACGTGGCGGGGAGGGTCACGTGGTTGCGGGGCTGAGCCAGGCGGGACGTGGCCGGGGCGGGGCCACTGGTGGATTTGGGGGCGATTTGGTCGATTTGACTTTTTCATGAGGAAAAAAAAAAAGTGTGTCAGGTGCTTGCGGATCCTGGGCGCGCGGGCCGGCTTTGCGCTCCCCGCCCGGCCCCGGGGAAGCGGTGCGGACGGCGGCGGGCTGGCGACCTCGTGCCCGGCAGTCGCTAAGACGCGGCCTCGAGGGGGACGATGGAGCCGAGCGCTGAGAGGGCCCGGGCGGACGAGCCGGACCCGGAGCCGGACGATGCTGCCCTGCTGCCCGGTCCGCAGCCCTCCTGCTGCCAAGGTAGGTGGGTGCGGTGCCAAGCAGTGCGGCACGTCGTGGTCTCAACGAGAGACTGGAGCTGCTGGGCTTGAAACCGGGGCCCGCTTGTCTCCTGCGCCCTGAGCGGTCGTGTCGCCGACTGCCGCCGTTTCACCTCTGTGTAGCCATGACGATGATAAAATCGGCTGCCCCGTCCAGAGGGCTGGGAGTAAGGCTCAAGCCCCGGTGCTCATGAGCGTGCAAGCCCCTAGCTGAAGGGACGCAGGGTCCCCTCTCCGCGCCCAGCAGCCCTGTGGGGCCGCGCCGGCCTGTCCTGCTGTCGGGACTTCTCAGGAGACGGGCAGATGACAAAGCGGGTTGGGAATGCCAGGACAACAGGACAGGGCAGCCACAGAGCGGCAGGGGTCGATCCAGTCCTCCAGCCCTTGCTTCCCTGAAGGAAATCTCTGCGGCAGCGGGAGACCTGCCTCTGCCCCAGCCTGTCTGTCCAGGAGCTGGTAGAGGAGAAATTCTGCTCCGCTGCATGGAGGGAGGTGTGTGTGTCCTGGGACAAGCCAGGGGGAATTGGACTGAACACGGTGCTGGGGGGAAGCTCTGTGGATCTGTATGGCTCTGTCTGAGAGGCGGGGATGACGGCTTGTCTTTGAAATAGCATTGTCTCCTGCCTCCGAACCAGCAGCTTTGAGGACCTTTTCTGAACATTAAGAAAAGTGCAAATGCTGTGACCTTACACTTAGGAACACGTTTGGGATACCTTCAGAAGCTGAGACAAGTAGAAGATAGTGCCGTTTGCATTATGCAGAGTTCTGAGGAAAAAGGAGGTGAATTATTATATAGAGATGAACCAACGACAAAGCTTAACGTTGACAGAGACATGAAGGACCCGTTAGAGACTGGGAGGCAGAGAAGAGCACAAGATTCCTCTGAGCAGTGATTTGGGCTAGGGGAGCACTATTGGTGAAAGTTAGATGTTTGTCTGTATGTTTTAGGGGCTGGGATGTATCATCAAGCATTAAAGTGGTTGTTTTGTAAGATGGATTAATTAGTAAATAATAAAGAAGAAATAAGATGATTGATGGTGGCTCCTGGCTGTCTGGAGGCCCCTAGTCACCTTGGCTGGGTAAAGGAGGTTGGTCTACTGACCATCTCTGGCATGTGGGGGTGGCTTTCTTTCTTCAGGGCTCTGCTCAGCTCGCTGGGGGCTGGCTGTTGTCCTGCACATCACCCTCTTTATGGTGTACGCACTCCGGGTCAATCTCAGCATGGCCATCGTGGCAATGACAAATGCCACCCACCCCAGCAACCAGGCCAACGTCTCCGTTGAAGTGTGTTCTAACCGCTCGCACGCGTGGTCCGATGGCTCCCACCCAGCATTCGCCCATGGGGTAAGTGGAAAGGCAGCTCAGGCCATTTCCTCAGGGTCTCTGCTCTCCCCATTGGAGCTTGGCAGGATGGACTGACTTGGAAACCATGAAGCTGAGCCTGGATTCGGGGCTGGTGCCAGGGCTAGCCTGAGAAGCAGGTCTGTGAGGGAGCCAGTCTTATGACGAGGGAGAGCTTAGAATTGGACAGCAAGCTGCACATGGGCTTGCGTGGACCAACCCCTTACCCTGCCCAGGGGGAGACCAAGTGCAGGGTTCAGTTGTCCGGTGGTGCCTTCAGATGCCATCTCACCCCTCTGATCCAAGCCCTCTGTCTCCCCCAGGCTCCTGTGTACGACTGGAGTGCCGAGACCCAGGGCATCATCCTCAGCTCCTTCTTCTACGGCTACATCTTCACCCAGATGCTTGGCGGTTACTGGGCAGGGACACTGGGTGGGAAGGTGGTGCTGGGCTGCGGGCTGTTCCTCACTTCAGCTCTCACCCTTTTCATGCCGCTGGCGGCAAAACTGGGAGTCGTGTACCTCATCGGGCTCCAGGTGCTGCTGGGCCTCGCAGAGGTAGGGCCTTGGCTTCACAGCTCTTTGCTCTGGTGGTTACATGTGTCTGTATCTGTGTCCACAGCGGTGACGGAACAAGCTAACAAGCCAGGTATCTGCCCCAAGGAGCTTACAGGCAAGGGGCAGTGCCAAACCAAAATGGCAGGACAATGTGAGAAGAGTGGTAGATCCCATGATGGTGCATGGCTCTGAATGTTCTTCACCAGGGATCATTCCCAGTGTGCTCTCCCTCCCCACTCTACCACACACGTGAACACACATGCTGGTGTTTATGGTCACATGTCCTTCCTCCCCAGGGGGTGATATTTCCAGCGCAATACACGCTATGGGCAAAATGGGCTCCCCCCATGGAACGCAGCAGGCTCATGAACATTGCAGATGCTGGTAAGAGACTGTGACACCTCACTGCCAACCTGACTGTTCCCCAAAGGTCTGGCCCTCTGCTCTGGAGACAGAGACAGAGGCCTGTAATGTTGCCTCAGTGCCAGTGGGAGCTGGGCACCCAAGTACCTGTGCCTGGAGGGGCTGTGTGGTGGTTTGGACTGTGTGGGTGGTACATGCAGATGGTAGATGGTCCTAGCCTGGACTCGTAGATGCACACAGGACCTGCCCCTGTGGCAGCCTAGCAGGGACCAGCATTATATTGGACTGGGCACTGGGGACCCCAGGTCATCACCCCCTCTTCTGAACGCTCTTCATTTCTGCCCCTCAGGATGCACCTTCGGGACCTTCCTCACTTACCTTGCAGCCGGGTTCATCTGCCAGTGCCTGGGGTGGCCCTACGTCTTCTACATCTTTGGTGAGGTCTTTCATATCCAGCCTCTGTACTCCGGGTTCTGATGCAGGAGACTTGCTGGCAGGAGCCATGGAGTTTGTCCACCTCCCTCTGCACAAGGAAATGGTGGTTCGGGCCTGGTTCCTAACCTGGTCCCCCCTCATCATCCCAGCCAGCACCCTCTCAGCCATCCCAGCAGAAGGGGCTGGCAGGGGCATCCCTTGTGCCCTACAGCCTGAGTTTGTGGCCTGTGGCTGTGGCAGTGTGGAGAGGAGCTTGCACTGCTGTTATCCATGCTGTACCCATCAAGTGAGTGAGAGCCAGGACCCTGGCAGACAGACCAACCTATGAAGGTTTGGGAACTCCCTGGAGTGTTAAGGGATCTCAGCCCTGGCAGTAAGGGAAGTCCTAGGAATGTTGCAGCACCTTTCCTGCTCTGTTGGGCTGTCTCTGGCCTTTGCAGTGCTCCAGCCTTCAGGGTCCTGGCCTGTGATCCTGTCACCAGGCTGGAGCTCTTTGCCAGCCTGTGTATTGGCATCTAGCACTAGGCCAGTTGAAGGCACGGCCTCATGAGCTGTGTGTCCACAAGACCTGATCCAGGCCTTGACCTGCTCCTTGTTTCCCCAGGCAGCATTGGCTGCGTCTGGAGCATGTTCTGGTTCCTTCTGGTCTATGAAGATCCTGGCTGTCACCCTTGCATTAGTGCCCGCGAGAGGGATTACATCATGTCGTCCCTGGCCAGTCAGGTGTGCTGAAAGGCCTGTAACTCCAACACGCTTCTTGCCTGCATCTTTTGAGGAGGCCATAGCCAAGGGACCCTCTGGTGGTGAGACTGTCAGCAGAAGGTTCCACTGAGTGCCCCACAGGTTGAGGCAGGGAAACACCCTGTCTTAAGGGGCTTCCACATCAGCTCAACCATGCCCATGATGGTGTGAGACCAGCGCTCATGGGAAAAGGCTGTGGCAGGGCTGGCGAGATCAGAGTTGGTGGATGGGCAGGAGGAGTTTGCAAGAGGCAGTGGGGAGTTCTGGCACGTGAGAAGCAAGATGCAGGTCTCGGTGTGGGTGGTGGGAAGCCATGCCTGGGAGGAGGTGAAGGAAGATTGGAAGGAGATGGAGGCAATGGGAGAGGGAGGCCAGAGCTTTGTGGTGATAAGGAGTAGGAACTCGAGGCGGAGAAGAAGCAGGCTTCCACGGAAGGGGTAGGACGAGCTGAGGGCAAGAGGCTCTTTACCGTGGTGCCTTGGACTGAGCAGAGGGGCAGGTCATGGAACGGGAATCTGCACCTGGGAGGCTTAGACTGGAGTAGGGGGAAAGCTGAGACAGGTTTGATTTGCTATGCATAGCTCCAGCCTGGCATTAGCCGGTGTAACTCTGTGCCAGCAGTAAGCCATTGAAGTTACCAGCCAAACCTAGTAGCATCCTGAGCCTGCTGAGTTGGAGATGCCGGGTCACTGGAAGCGCCCCTCTTGAGCCAGCTCTGACAGGAGCGTTTCCCTGCAGGGCTGTTCTCATGGCTGGTCCCTCCCACTCAAGGCCATGGCGAAGTCACTGCCCCTATGGGCGATTGCTGTGGCCTGCTTCTGCACCGACTGGCTCTTCTACACACTGCTGACATCCATGCCGACGTACATGAACAATGTTCTGCACTTCAACATCCAGGAGGTAAGCTGGAGAAGGGGAGTTGTCTTCTGCCTAGCGGAGCAGCTGGCCTTAGCCCCTGGGCTTTCAACACCGAGCTCTGGCCTGGCTTGGCAGTTTCCACTTCTAGACTCCCCCACACATGCATCTGGTAATGCCGTGGGCACCTGTGGCACCCCACAGCCACTGCCGATCTATGTCAAGTGGAGATGCCAGTGCCTCAGCTTGGTCTCATCCTCACAGAATGGACTCCTCTCAGCACTGCCTTATGTTGGCAATGGCCTGGGTCACATCCTGTCGGGGCTGCTGGCAGACTTGCTCCTCTCCAGGCATGTGCTCAGCACAGCTGTGGTGCGGAAACTCTTCTCAGCAGTGGGTAAGGACCAGTCCCCTCTGCCCCCAGGTTCCTTCAGCTGGCTATCCCCCCACAGGCCATAAATGTGCCTCCTTTCCTCCTTAGGGATGCTGCTGCCAGGCGCCTTCCTAGTGGCTGTGTCCTACATCGGCTGCAACTACACAGCTGCTGTGGCCTTTCTCACACTGTCCTTGACTGTGAACAGCATGACTGGGGCAGGCCTGAACATCAACCATATTGACATTGCCCCCAGGTGAGATGCATGACCTGTCCTCCTTTCCCGTGCTTCCATGGCTCCAGCCATCCCCACTCCCTTTACCAGTCCTCTGCTCCTTGGCTTTGAGCTGCACTCCTGCCTGTCCAATATCAGGAGATCAGGGAGAGGAAAAAGCAGAAGCAAAAAAGGGGGTAAGGATGTTGCCCTCCTTTAAGAGGGCAGGTGATGGCTGAGGGGCAGTTTCTGCCAGCTTCTGGGCTCTGCTAATGCCAGACAGGTTTGCAGTAGGTTAGTTGCATCACTTGAGAGATGGTTGGACCTGCATTGCACTTCCCTCTGTCTCTTGCTCAGGAAATCTTCCCTTCCCCTCTCCCAGGTATGCCGGGTTTCTGCTGGGGATCACAAACACCTTTGGAATAATAGCAGGGATCATTGCTCCCACTGCGGTCGGATTCCTCACCAGCCAGGTAATAGAGGGCTGCCTTGGGAGACCAGCTTGGAACTCGTGCTCTCCCTTGTGGTGGGAAGGGAAAATGCAGTTGGAAGGTGGGCCAAAAGACTATTTCCCATGCACCAGATTAAAATGTGTTCCTGGCTGAGCTCTTATAGTCTCTCTGAGCCCAGCCTCCAGGCTGTTTCATGCTGGGTGACACGTAGTGTGCCAAGTCAGTACCGAGAGGATGGACATGTAAACAAGATCCTGGGGGCGGGGGGCTTTATTGTGTTCAGTTGTTTGTGCGCCTGTATCCTGAGCGGTTTGAAAGAAGCCTTTCTAATTGGCACCCAGAGTGCGGGCTCGCAGGAAGGGGAGACCCTAGAGGAGCTGGAATGGGACAGTAGAAGCTTTGTTCCAGGGATGAGCTGCTTGAGTTCAGCATAAAAGGCCATGACACAGAGTCCAAAAGGGGAACATCTTTAGCTGAACCAAGCTCTTTACTGTTACAGCTATTGATAAACGTGGGGCCAGACAGGCACAACCCCTAAGGCCCGTCTCCCTGTATGGGATGGTAACCTTGAGCTGGAGACCAGACTAACAATAGCCCATGTTTGGTTCCCCCCAGGACCTGGTGACTGGCTGGAGGAACGTCTTCTTCCTGTCGGCAGGGATCGATCTCTTTGGCCTCCTGTTCTACGTGGCCTTTGGCAGTGGAACCATCCAGGATTGGGCTAAAGAGGATGTTGCCAACCAGTGAGCAGCTGAGTCAGGCTGCTGTGTGACAAGGGTGTGGGATGAAACATGCTCCAGGGAACATAGGTTAGTCAAGATATCCCAGCCCTGTCCAGCACCTGAATAGAAAGTGCCAGGCATTTGTGTAGCCAGCCAGCTGTGTCCTGGATTCCCACGCCCTTCCCCAGGCTTCACGTGATCAAAGCACAAGTGAGCACAGTAGGGTGAACACAAGAGGTCTCCTTCCAAGATGCTTAGTTGGAGGTAGGCTCCTTTTCTGCTCTGAATTTATTTACCCAGGTTGAGTTAGAATTTCACCTCTCTGCAGCAGAGTGCCTATTTTCAGCCCCCTTTCTTGGGATGGTGGCTTAGTTCATGGTGCGTTTTTATTACTGGTGCATTTTTATACTATAAGCAGCAGAGCTTAGCCTGTTACCTCAAGACAGTTTCCCTCTGGTGCCTCCCTTAGTGACTGCAGTGAAAGCTGCCTCTTTCCTGCCCCGTGACACCAGCTCATGTCTGGTTAAGAGGCCAAACTAGAATTAATCCCCATTCACAGGATAATGCTGTTACTGCTGGTAACCTCTTGGCTTGAGGGTTGCTAGGGGGATCCCAGTCATGCCCACCCCTCCCAGAATTGCAGTATGAAGCAGCTGAGACCGTAGTTCACAGTGCTTCACTGCTTCCCCTGGGATCTTATCCACCTTCTCTGGAACGTGATTTCAGAGGCATCTGAAATCTGTTGGCAGGGGAAGCTCTTCAGCCTCTGAGCATGGTCCTTTGAAGTGAATTATAATGCTGGTCCCTGCTAGGCTGCCACAGGGGCAGGTCCTGTGTGCATCTACGAGTCCAGGCTAGGACCATCTACCATCTGCATGTACCACCCACTGCCCCTTCCTGCCCAGGCAGAGGCACCTACTTTCACCTGGCCTGAGGTGTCAGGTTAGGGAGGAGGGAACCTGGGGGAAGGCTCCAGGTGTAGTCATCTCATTCCTGACACACCGCCCTGTGCTCACCAGGGCACTGACAGTCCCATTTAAGTGAGCTAGATAAGGCCACAAGGAAGAGATTCAAATTGAGTGTTTATTCACACTGGAATTATCCAGGCTCCTCCCCTC